TGATCCAATCCAAAAAATTCGTGCTGGAGACTAAAATCTGGATGTCAGGACAGGATTTGGGTGAATAAATCTCCAGCTAAACCTAAAAATTTTCAAAGAAAAATTTCAGCTGAGTATGGGAAGATTCTGCGTCACTAATCCGTTTTCAGAAAAAAACTCGCATCTGTAAAATGAAAGCTGGATGGCACTGGAGGTTTAAAGAAAGAGATTCCCAGAATTTGAGCACTATTTTCTAACTTCTCTACAGTAGTTTCTATAGAAACAGTCTGTCTACAGTAAGCCGCTTCCCGATTTCGTTTTCTAAACCGTTTTCCATTCCTAACAGAATTTAAATTAGTCAATAAACGGTTTTTTGGCTAATCTGGAAGGCACTAGGAATTTTCCAAAGCTTAGAAATTCAAAATTTGCATTTCAGCCATTCTACCGGACCGGTTCCTAAACCGTGCCCTTTCCCCTTTTCACCGTAATCCAAATTAGTCTGATAAACGGTTTTTTGGCTAATCTGGAAGGCACTAGGAATTTTCCAAAGCTTAAAACTTTAAAATTAGCAGTTTTATCCATTGGTTCCTAAACCGTGCCCTTTTCTCTTTCTACCGTAATCCAAAGCAGTCTGTTAACGTTTTTTTGGCTAATCTGGAAGTCACTAGGGATTTTCCAAAGCTTAGAAATTCAAAATTTGCATTTCATCCATTCTACCGTACCGGTTCCTAAACCGTGCCCTTTCCCCTTTCCACCGTAATCCAAATCAGTCTATTAACGGTTTTTTGGCGGTTCTGGAAGTCACTAGGGATATTCTCAAGTTCAGAAATTCAAAAAATGATAAAAAAATTTCAAACCTTGACATTCCTCAGCGAGCACCTCTAGGGAATAGCGTTGCATCGGTGTCAAATGCTTAATCGAATTTCTCAATCAAATAATTTTCCCATCGTTTCGAACGCCTAAAGTGACGTCCAGGATTGACGAAATTCAAGTTTAAAAAGAAAATCTAATTGTTAAAAAGAAAAAATGAAGTCAAATTCGCAAAGGGCAAGGCAAAATTGTCAAAATCGTTTTTAAAATGGTCAAAATTCGCTAAAAAACTTCAAAATGCGGCCCAGGATGCCAAATTTTCGAGTGGAAAAAGTCGTAATTTCAGCTGTGAGCGGCATTGGGTCGATAAAGTCCATGAGCCTCTGACCGATCTCGGTTCTCCGCGAATTCTCCGATATTTCGGCGGAAAAGCCCTTTCCCTCATCCAAATTCATCCATCCTGGGAATCACAGAGGCCAACGGGAAAAGAGAAAATTTAAAAAGAGCCATTTGGCGCCGAAACGAAAAACACCCAAAAATAGCTTTTTTTAAAAGATATTCAGCTAAAGAATGGGCAAAAATTAGTGGCCCGGTGGATACGTTTTCTCAAGTAAAAAAGAAAAAGGAAGCTAAAAAAGGGAAAGAACTCTCAAAACGCTTTACGATTTTAGTGGTCAGTCCGCTTTTTGAGCGTCCCACTAAAGCAAAATCTCAATTTTCCATGTTTTTCCATTTTTTACAAAATCAGCCCCAATCAAATTTTTATCAATGCAAATTTCTTCTGTGACACCCAGGATATACAAATTTTACGAAATCAAGGAAAGTTTTTCTTGTGAGCATGGAAAAATTGACCCAAAATCGTCGACTCGGTTTAGCCTTTGACAAAACCCACTCCAATCAAATTTCTATCAATGCAAATTTCTTCTGTGACATCCAGGATATGCAAATTTCACAGATTCAAAGAAAGTTTTTGTTCGAAAAGTGACAAAATTGTCTCAAAATCGTCTGCTCGGTTTGGCCTCTTATAAACTCAGCCTCAATCGAATTTCTATCAATGCAAACATCTTCTGTGACATCCAGGATATGCAAATTTCACAGATTCAAATAAAGTTTTTCTTGTGAGAGTGGAAAAATTGACCCAAAATCGTCGGCTCAGTTTAGCCTTTGACAAAACCCACTCCAATCAAATTTCTATCAATGCAAATTTCTTCTGTGACTCCCAGCATAAATAAATTTTACGAAATCAAGAAACTTTTTTGTTGGAAAAGTGACAAAATTGGCTCAAAATGGTCTGCTCGATTTGGCCTCTTATAAAACCAACTCCAATCAAATTTCTATCAATGCAAATTTCTTCTGTGACATCCAGAATATGCAAATTTTACAGAATCAAGAAACTTTTTTGTTCGAAAAGTGAAAAAATTGACTCAAAATCGTCGGCTCAGTTTAGCCTTTTACAAAACCAACTCCAATCAAATTTCTATTAATGCAAACATCTTCTGTGACATCCAGGATATGCAAATTTTACAGAATCAAAGAAAGTTTTCCTTGTGAAAGTGAAAAATTTGACTCAAAATCGTGCGCTCGGCTGGGTGAAAAGTAAAATTTTGCAAAACGAGCTTTCATTTCGCAATTTCTAAGTGTACTCTGCTCCAATTTAGTTAAAAAAATTGATTTTTACAGTAATCATTAAACTGAAACTCGTCTGTAGAGCTCTGAGCCCTCTGAATCCTTTGTAGAGCGTCGGACCAATTTTTTTGAGCTGATTCTTTGATTGAGTAAAGCAAAAAATGTTCAGAGGCAGATTTTCAGTCAAAGCTTCTTTAGAGTGACTTCCAGATTGACAGATTTTAAAAGCTCGAGATCTGGAAGTGATTTTTTGAGCCGTTTTTTGCGGCAGACTTTTTCTGGCACTCGTGAAAGCCGTTTTCTTCGAATTTTCTTCTTTTGACCTAAAAGAAAAGCTAATTTCTGTGCTTTTGCGCCTCTGTTTTGCCGGCTTTCGATTTAGTTTTGCCTTTTTGGTCGCCCGGCCAACCGAAAACGATTTGGCCATCAGAGAGAAAATCGCTCTCGAATTTTCTCTCAACTAAATTTTCTTGTTTTCTTGTTTCTCGCTTTTTTATGACGTCATTTGATTCTGTGACATCCAGAATTGGCTTTGATTTCAATTTTTAAGCGATTAGCTGAATATTTTTGACATTTTTTGAGCTGAACTCAAATTTTATTTATATCAATTGCCAAAAACGCAAAACAAGCTCCCTCTAAAAGCTGAATTCAATCGAGTGCCTTCCAGAATGGCCATTAGAATGAAAATTTCCGAAAAAACTTGCATTCTAGCCGATTTTTGGCGTCAAACTCTTTTCTCTCTTCACTTGGACGTTTTCAGATTAATCACTGGCTTTTGGACTTTAAATTTCTTCAATCTGGAATGCACTTTAATGAAATTTGCAAAAAAAAGCAAAAAACGAACTTTTTGACAACTTGTCATTTTGGTTAAGTGGTTAAAGCGTTTGGTTACCAGTCAGTCGACCCGGGTTCGAGTCCGCTGCTCGGCTTTTGCTCGGAAACGTTTGGAAATGAAACTCATTGCACTTTGTGACATCCAGATTGTAGGTTTTCAAAAAAATTAAGCCAAAAAACTTGAATTCTAGGCGATTTTTGGCGTCAAACTCTTTTCTCTCTTCACTTGGGCGTTTTCAGATTAATTACTGTCTTTTGGACTTTAAATTTCTTCAATCTGGAATGCACTTTAGTGAAATTTGCAAAAAAAACCCAAAAACGAACAACTTGTCATTTTGGTCAAGTGGTTAAAGCGTTTGGTTACCAGTCAGTCGACCCGGGTTCGAGTCCGCTGCTCGGCTTTTGCTCGGAAACGTTTGGAAAAGAAACTCATTGCACTTTGTGACATCCAGATTGAAAGATTTCAAAAAAATTTAAGCCTGTTGATGATCTTTTTGAGGCGAAATTTCATTTTGACGGTTTTCGGTATCTTTTAGTAACATTTTTCGTGATTTTCGTTTCTCTCCTGCCCGCCCTTTCCCCGTTTTGTCTTTTCTGGTTGCCATTTTGGCCTTCGCGACTCTTCGATGCCTTTTGTTTCTCCAGAAATTCGTTTCCAAGTAGCCAAACCATGAGACTTCAAGCACACGCCGGAAAAACAGCGCAAGCACAAGAAATCCCAAGAATTCCCTATTTAATCACCAAATTGGAAGTCACATCAGCGGTTTATTCAAACATTTTGTAAGTTTCTTTAGAAATCTGGGCTAATGTCGGGTAATCGATAGCTGTTCGAAGCCTTTTACACCCCAAATTTTTCTCATCCATCAAAAATCTTTCTCATTTCCTCCAAACTGGATATCACACTTAGTTTTGAAGAAAAATTTAAAGCTCTAGAGCGAATTTTTCGACTTTGCTTTGGCCTTTTCGACTTGGCCCCAAAATCTCGGGTCCTAAGGCGAATTTTGAAAAAATTCCTTTCGATTCTTTCAATCTGGATATCACACTTAGTTTTGACGAAAAATTGAAAGCTCTAGAGCGAATTTTTCCATTTGGCTTTGGCCTTTTCGACTTGGCCCCAAAATCTCGGGTCCTAAGGCGAATTTTGAAAAGTTTTCTTTCGATTCCTCCAAACTGGATATCACACTTAGTTTTGACGAAAAATTTAAAGCTCTAGAGCGAATTTTTCGACTTTGCTTTGGCCTTTTCGACTTGGCCCCAAAATCTCGGGTCCTAAGGCGAATTTTGAAAAAATTCCTTTCGATTCTTTCAATCTGGATGGCATTCGAAAATTTTAAGCAAAATTTGAGGCCCTGGTGTGAGATTTTAGTTTTTTGCTTTTCACGAATTTTGTTTAGGCCTGAATTCTCAACATTTATTCTGGTTTTATCGAAGCTTTTGTTATTTTAGTTTTTCCTGGGTGGCACAAGGGCTTTTGCCATGACCGGAAGTATACGAATCTGAAAAAGAAAGAAAAAAGGGGGAAATGGAGAAAGCCCAAAAATTGGTCAAGTTACTACTTGACCAATTTTCGAGGCTGAGCTGCTTGAAGGCTGAATTTTAAGGGGAAAGACGTTCTAGAGTGTTCTAGAGTGTTCTGGAGCCTTCCAGAGCGCATTTTTCTATCTAATATTCTAGAAATTTCAAATTTTATTAATTCGTCAGTCTTGTGTGAGAAATTTCCGTTTTTCAAAAAAAAAAAAGAATTTAGATGAATGGGTTGCGAGATTTCGAAGGACAGCCCGGAGGGGAAATGGATTGAAAAAGTGAGTCTGATCTAGATTTGAGTGGAGCTAGCAGCAGATTTGGTGCTAATCTTGATTTTTCTGCTCTCTTGATAGTGGGAGCTGGTTTTTTAGCATTCAGGATTGTTTATTGTGCGCTCCAGATGGCTCAGATTCATTTCGTTATTGGTTTTCTAGCTCTGGAAGAAAGCCCAAATCTCTGGAAGGCCTTGAAGGCTAGGCCTTCAGGATTTCCAGGGCCACTTCTGAGGCCTAGGCTCAGGCTTAGGCTTAGGGACCAGGGCCATCAGATTTCAGCTGATCTCAGATCAGCCCTAAGCCTAAGCCTAAGCCTAAGCCTGAAATTTTGTAAGCATACTCCCATGGGAGGTGCAAGCACAAGGGCAATTGCTTGCACTTTAGCTCCGAGAACTGGCTGAGATCTAGAAAATGGGAGTTCAGCCCAAACCCAAATAGACTTAGTGCTAGGCGCTAGCCGCTAGCCTTCCCACTAAGTCCAAGCCTAAGCCTAAGCCTAAGCACAAACCCAAATAGAATCAGTCTTAGCCTAGGCCTAAGCCCAAGCCTCAGCCTAAGCCTCAGCCTAAGCCTGATCCCAAACAGATTCAGTTTTAGCCGAGACTGAGTCCAAGCCTCATCCCAGGCTCAGGCTTAGGGACCAAGGCCATCAGATTTCTGATTTTTAGAGCTGATTTTTTAGCATTCAGATCCGAAGATTGTTTATTGTGCGCTCCAGATTTCAGGCTCAGATTTCAGATGAGCCCAAGCCTAAACCCAAGCCAAAGCCTAAGCCTGAGCTTAAGCCTAAGCCTGATCCCAAACAGACGCAATCTTAGCCGAGACTGAGTCCAAGCCTAGGTCCAAGTCTAGGTCCAAGCCTCAGCCCAAGCCCACAGCGCAATGATAAACGGAAAGAAACATCTTTTGAATGATTTGGTTCTGACGAAAGGGTTTTATCAACTGCCTCCATTGCCCTATCCACCCGGACAGTGTGCCAGACGGCGAGCGATTACGCGGCCACATAGAGAACACCAATAGGGGCTTTTCAGAATGGACTTTCCAGGATGGGCTTTCCAGGATTTCAGGATTCCAAAACTTGGCCTAAATCCTCTGGAATCGATTTCCTTTCTTTTCTAAATGCAATCCTGGAACGCACAACGGGTTTTGCATTGATCAGAAATTGTTAATTCATCGATTTTATTTTTCTCATTTGGTGACTCGAATCTTCTCTAGAATTAGCTTAAAATTCAAGTTTTTTCAGATTTGATTTCACTTTTTAGGAAGCTAAAACATTTCTGCGTTAAATAGTACTAATAATAGTACTTTTAGATGTCACTAGTACGTCAAATAGTACCATCAAATAGTACCATCAATTTTCAGGATAAATCCGGACCAACAAAAGTTCATCCAGTCGACATCCAGACGACACTTCGCCCAAAAACCACTCCCGGTGTGCATTTGAGTCAATCGGAGTTGAAAAAAGACCCAGATTTACCAGATTTACCAAAAAGCGAAACAAAGCAAGAAGTGGGGAAAGAAGAGAAAGAAAAAGAGGCGAAAGAGACGAAAAAGGAGAAGGAGACAAGTTTGTGGTTTTTGGAATTGAATAGCTGACAAGAATTTGACAAGAACTTGGTTTCAGTACTTCCAGAAAAGGATTTGGCTTCGGTTCCAAGACTAGTAAACCAGAACGATACTAGTTTTGAACTAGAAACTAGTAACTAGAATCCTAGTCTAGTTTGAAAGAAACAATTACTAAACTAGTCTAGTTCTATGTCTTAGAGCCTTCTAGACCAAGTACTAAGCCGGCTTGCCAGAGCCAGAGCCAGAGCTGAGCCAGAGCCAGAGCTGAGCCAGAGCCAGAGCTGAGCCAGAGCCAGAGCTGAGCCAGAGCCAGAGCTGAGCCAGAGCCAGAGCTGAGCCAGAGCCAGAGCTGAGCCAGAGCCAGAGCTGAGCCAGAGCCAGAGCTGAGCCAGAGCCAGAGCTGAGCCAGAGCCAGAGCTGAGCCAGAGCCAGAGCTGAGCCAGAGCCAGAGCTGAGCCAGAGCCAGAGCTGAGCCAGAGCCAGAGCTGAGCCAGAGCCAGAGCTGAGCACTACTCCTGAGCTAACTAGGGAACTGTTTCAGCTTTTCAACCGACTTTCGAAAACTACAAAACGTTCCCGTAGAATTCTAAGAGACATGTATTTTTGATTATTTTCCCATTGGCCCTGGTTTGTTTGGGAAAAGTTGAAGTTCAGTGACTGGTGTGTTTTGTAGCTACAGTAAGACAGGATGTCGAAAATTTGCAATCGATCATCAATTCTGGATGTCACAGCAGGGTTTGAGTGAATGAAATCTTAGAAAAACGGATTCTGGGAAAAGGCGCAAAGTGGAGTGTAGTGAGCTGGAGTGTTTTATAGCTACAGTAAGACAGAATGTCGAAAATTTGCAATCGATCATCAATTCTGGATGTCACCGCAGGGTTTAAGGGTATAAAATCCTGGAGAAGCGGCTTTTGGGAAAAAGCGTAAAAGTGGAGTTTAGTGACTGGTGTGTTTTGTCGCTACAGTAAGACAGAATGTCGAAAATTTAAGTTGGATCCTGGATTCTGGATGTCACAGCAGAGGTTAAACAAATAAAATCTTAGAAAAACGTGTTCAAAGTTTTGGCAATTTTTGGCAAACCTCACCTTCGCGAGCAAGAAGGCGAGATGCCGAAAGGCAGCAAGGCCAACGGTGGCCAAGGGGGTGGTGTTCTAGACTTTAAAACCCTTGTCACTCTTGCTCGCGGGTTCAATTCCTCTTGCGACCAAACTCTCTACATTTTGTGGAAAACTTCCGTAAAACACTGCTTTATGATTATTGTATTGTTTTCTTAAAATTAGCTATTTATTAATTAGCTTTTCAAATTAGCTATTTAAAATTCGCTTTTCAAAGCTTTTCCATAGCTAGGAGTGCTTAATTAGGTTCTCTTGCGGTATTGCTGGAAGTACTGGAAGTGCTGGAAGTACTGGAAGTACTGGAAGGGCTGGAAGGGCTGGAAGTACTGGAAGGGCTGGAAGTACTGGAAGGGCTGGAAGTACTGGAAGTACTAGAAGGGCTGGAAGGGCTGGAAGTACTGGAAGTACTGGAAGGGCTGGAAGTACTGGAAGCGCTGGAAGTACTGGAAGTACTGGAAGCGCTGGAAGTCCTGGAAGTACTGGAAGTACTGGAAGTACTGGAAGTACTGGAAGTACTGGAAGTACTGGAAGTACTGGAAGGGCTGGAAGTACTGGAAGTACTGGAAGGGCTGGAAGTCCTGGAAGTCCTGGAAGTACTGGAAGTCCTGGAAGTACTGGAAGTACTGGGCTTTAGCTAGATCTCTCGATTATCAGAAAACTTGAATCCTAATAATCCTAAATCCTAATAATCTAACAATCTCGATTTCAGAAGACGACTCGAAAATCCCCGAGCACAATCCCTACAATCGGATTCGCAGTGGCTCGGTGGCGACAATCATTATGGAGAATCGGCCACCGTCCGGCGTTTCTCAGTGAGATTTTTGAAAAAACAGATTCAGATCGATTCTGAATCGATCTGAATCTGGCCTAGGAGCCTGGGAGCCATTCTGTGATGCAGATTCTCCCTTATCTTCTCCAGCTTTCCCAAACTTTCAATTTTGCAGCACCTCGTTCACTCGAGTGTACAAGCAGCGCTTGTCGAGTCGCCCATTCACCATCGATACCTCAAGAGCAAAATCGAATCAGCCAGTCGTTTCGCAATGCGCTCAAAAGATTGGGATCACTGAGGTGAGTTGGGGAAAACTCTCTAATTTTAAAATCTCAAGAAAGATCGAAAAATTGAGAAACGAGGAGACAATCGGGTGCACAGGAAGGTGTCTGAGTGAAAATGGATGGATAAATGTTGGAAAGTAAAGAAAATTTGCGATTGATTGTCAATTCTGGAGGTCACAGCAGGGTTTAAGCGGGCAAAATCCTCGAAAAACGGATTCTATGAAAAGCGTAAAAGTGGAGTGTAGTGAGCTGGAGTGTTTCGTAGCTACAGTAAGACCAGATGTCGAAAATTTGCAATCGATCATCAATTCTGGATGTCACAGCAGGGTTTAAGGGTATAAAACCTTAGAAAAACGGATTCTGGCAAAAAGGGTAAAAGTGGAGTTTAGTGACTGGTGTGTTTTGTCGCTACAGTAAGACAGAATGTCGAAAATTTAAGTTGGATCCTGGATTCTGGATGTCACCGCAGGGTTTAAGGGTATAAAATCCTGGAAAAGCGGCTTTTGGGAAAAAGGGTAAAAGTGGAGTTTAGTGACTGGAGTGTTTTGTAGCTACAGTAAGACAGGATGTTGAAAATTTAAGTTGGATCCTGGATTCTGGATGTCACGGCAGCGTTCGAGTAGTTAAGACTTTTGAAATCTTGAAAACCAACTTAAAATGGCCGGCCTTCTCACCGATTTTCGACTTTGACTGAATATCTTTTAAATAAAGCCTAAAATCTAAGAACTGACTGTTCCAGGCCTTAAGCTGGATGTCACATAACATTTCTAGAATAATAAATCGGCTTGGGTAGCTACTTGGGCACTTTGTTAGCCTCGACCGCTTGAAAGTGTGCGTACCTTTCATGCCATAGGAAAAAGCGGGATCTGGCACACTGTTTGGGTAATTAAACCGACTGAAAAACGGATTTTTTCTATATAAAATAATCATTACAACAGTTCAGATTGTAAGGAAAACTGAAATGAATCAAAAAAAAAAATCCGTTACAGTATCCCGAGGGTCGAGACGATAAAAAACCGTGCGATGTCTATTGGCATAATGTTGTTTATCCGGATATGTGTCGAGTGGTCACGCATGCATCAGCTAGAGTCAACAAGTTTCCTGGTGAGTTTACGGTGGTGTACAAACTAACAGCGAGTTTTAGGGATGACTGAGCTGGCGAAAAAAATCTCGTTAACCCACTCGATCTCGTCAATGCAGAAGCTCTTCCCTGATGAGTATGGTTTCTATCCAAAAGTGAGTTTGGGCGAGAAAATGAGCTAAATCTACAAGAGTGACATCCAGATCGCCTAAAAATAAGATTTACAATGAAATTTGATTTTGGAGAAGCTAGGAATTTATCTGAAGTCGGAGCTAGTGTATCGACCTGCTTGATAGGTAGAAATTCTTGGTTTTAAGCTGTTTTTTGACTAGTGTGACATCCAGATCACCCAAAAATTGAATTGACAATCAAATTCGCTTTTTGAGAAGCCAGAAAATGGGCTGAAGTCGAAACTCGCGCATCGGACTCGTTAATGAGTAAAAATTCTGGATTTTAAGCGGCTTGTCAACTAGTGTGATATCCAGATCGCTTAAAAATAAGATTTACAATGAAATTTGATTTTGGAGAAGCTAGGAATTTATCTGAAGTCGGAGCTAGTGTATCGACCTGCTTGATAGGTAGAAATTCTTGGTTTTAAGCTGTTTGTCAACTAATGTGACATCCAGATCGCTCAAAAATTGAATTGGCAATCAAATTCGCTTTTTGGGAAGCCAGAAAATGGGCTGAAGTCGAAAATAATGCATCGGCCTGCTTGATAAGTATAAATTCTTGGTTTTAAGCGGCTTGTCGACTAGTGTGACATCCAGATCACTCAAAAATCCAATTTAAAATCAAATTCGCTTTTCAAAAAGCCAGAAATTTATCTGAAGTCGAAACTCGCGCATCGGACTCGTTAATAAGTAAAAATTCTGGCTTCTAATCTACTTGTCAAGTAGTGTGACATCCAGATCGCTCAAAAATCTAATTTCAAGCCTATCTTTCTTTTGTATAAGTTTCAATTTCAGTCGTGGTTCCTCCCGGCACACCTGCGCGAATTCGAGGAGTTCTCGGGGAGACAAGGGAAAAACGATGGCACACATTGGTTCATCGTTAAGCCGGACGACGGTTTTGTGCGGGCTGGGTGGCTAAATTTGAGAATTTCAGGAGCTCAAGGCACCGGGATTTATCTGATCAACTCACCGTCGCAACTCAAAGATCCCCTGCAGAAGCAACTCGTGCAGGTGAGGAAAGGAGAGAGGAAAGCGAAATAGAGCTGATTTTTGGCCGCGGATTTCTTCCAGCACTTAATAAGAAGCCAAACCAGGACTGGAATTAGACTTTTGTCAAGAAGTTACTCGAATTCGGGTTCTCAAATAGAGCCAGGTCAAACCAGCAAACCTGGAACCTACGATACCTCCATCCTAGGATCCGATACCCTAGGATTGGGGGATACCATCACTGTGTATTCAGGTAACTCCCATCCTATGGATACCCCATCCTAGGTTGGGGTATCCAACGCTACCCCCATCCAACGATACCCCCATCCAACGATACCCCCATCCAACGCTACCCCCATCCAACGCTACCCCCATCCAACGCTACCCCCATCCAACGATACCCCATCCAACATACCCCATGCAACGCTACCCCCATCCTACGATACCCCCATCCAACGCTACCCCCATCCAACGCTACCCCATCCAACGCTACCCCATCCAACGCTACCCCATCCAACGCTACCCTTCGGAACCGTAGATTCCAGGTTTAGTCTTTCTGTCAAACCTGGCGGTAAAACTAGATCCAAACCTTGCCTAGCCCAGAGAATTCTTTGGAATTTTAGAATCTCCCTGTCCTAGAGCTTTGGTTTTGAAGTTTACTCATAAACTGACTTAGTCTTTTTGCTCGTAGCTAGATAAACAATCGGAAAAATCAGTCGAAAGCTTTCAGGAAAACTTTCAGGAAAACTTTCAGGAATACGTGGCTGATCCGTTGCTAATGGGCGATCAGCTGAAGTTCGATTTCCGAGTATATGGAGTGATTCGATCGATCAATCCGTTGTCGATTTACGTGGCAAGAGAAGGTTTGTCTTGTTTTTGCTACTTGTAGCTAGATTGTTGGCTTATCGACTAGTGTGACATCCAGATTGCTCAAAAATATGATTTAAAATTAAATTTGATTTTCGAGAAGCCAGAAAATGGGCTGAAGTCGGAACTATTGCATCGGACTCGTTGATAAGTAGAAATTCTGGATTTTAAGCGGCTTTTCGACTCGTGTGACATCCAGATCACTCAAAAATTGAATTGACAATCAAATTCGCTTTTCAAGAAGCCAGAAAATGGGCTGAAGTCGGAACTAATGCATCGACCTGCTTGATAGGCATAAATTCTTGGTTTTAAGCGGCTTGTCAACTAGTGTGACATCCAGATCACCGAGAAATCCAATTTGTAATCAAATTCGTTTTTCGAGAAGCCAGAAATTTGTCTAAAGTCGGAACTGATGCATCAGCCTGCTTGATAAGTATAAATTCTTGGTTTTAAGCCGTTTGTCGACTAGTGTGACATCCAGATCGATCAGAAATATGATTTCAAGCCCAATTACCCTTTTCAGGAATGGCCCGTTTCTGCACCGAGCGCTACAGCAAACCGACGACATCGAATTTCGAGAATTTGTTCTCACATTTGACGAATTACTCGCTAAACAAGTCGAATGATTCCTATATTCACAGCAATACGCTACATGATCAGATAAAAGGTGGGTACTCTAGTGTAGCCTGAGAGCGATGTACTATAGACGTAGGAACTAGTGATGAAAATGCAAATTGCAGTTTAGTCTCAAAATTTGAACTCAAAAATCTTTCGTGCACTCCAGATTGGCATTTGCAGTGATTAAAAGTGATTGGCGTAAAGGCCGATCGGCCGTAAACCCTTCAGAGTCCCTCTCCACTGACTAAAAATTAAAACTTCAGCTTATCCCCCGAATTTTAACTCTAGAAATCTTCTGTGCACTCCAGATTGGCATTTACAAAATTCAAAATCAAATTCTCTTTATTAGATAAAGATATTTTGACTCAAAATCTTAAAATTACCTAGCATTTTATGATTTTTGGTTAAATTTTGATTGAAAATAGGCTAAGAGGTTGTAGATTAGCGTTTCAGATTGCAGATCGTTTCAGATCTACATTTCAGCTGTCTTTCCAGCTATCTTTCCAGCTCATTATCCCCAAATTCCAGACTCGAAACGGCTTCTTTCCACCGTTTTCCGATTTCACCGGTTCTAGATTAGCGTTTCAGATTGCAGATCGTTTCAGATATCTTTCCAGCTGTTCAGCTGTTTCCAGCTGTCTTTCCAGCTATCTTTCCATCTAAATCTTCCGAAATTCCAGGCTCGAAACGTCTTCTTTCCACCGTTTTCCACCAGCTTGAGTCACGAAATCTGAAGACGAAAAAGCTCTGGCATGAAATAAAAATGATTCTAGTCAAGGTCTGGCCACCAGAAATTCCAAAAAATTCAAAAATTCAAACTTTTTATAGACTGTCCTCGCCATGCTCCCCGAGATCATGCTACACTACGAGCATCACTTTATTGACAAGCCGGGCCCTCAGTGTTTTCAGGTCAGCGGCTTGTGTGCCTTCCAGATCCTCGTTTCCTTCGTTTAAAATTGAATTTTGGTTACAATGGCCGAAAGATTTGTCGTCAAAATCGTTTCAGATAATCGGCTTTGATGTGATGATTCGTGCGAATGGAGACCCGGTGCTACTCGAGGTAAACGCGGCCCCGTCGCTGACAATCGATCACCAGATTTCGCCAGGCAAGGGTTTTTAGGGTTTTGAAGTGGCAAGAAAGCGCTATACATAGTAGCTCAGCTACATAGCCTAATAATTCTAGAGAGCTAAAAATTTCGGGTTTTAAGCTGTTTGTCGACTCGTGTGATATCCAGATCGCCTAAAAATAAGATTTATAATCAAATTTGATTTTCGAGAAGCTAGGAATTTGTCTGAAGTCGGAGCTAGTGTATCGGCCTGCTTGATAAGTAGAAATTCTTGGTTTTAAGCTGTTTGTCGACTCGTGTGACATCCAGATCGCTCAAAGATTGAATTGACAATCAAATTCGCTATTCAAGAGACCAGAAAATGGTCTGAAGTCGAAACTCGCGCATCGGACTCGTTGATAAGTGAAAACTCTGGATTTTAAGCGGCTTGTCAACTAGTGTGATATCCAGATCGCCTAAAAATAAGATTTATAATCAAATTTGATTTTCGAGAAGCTAGGAATTTGGCTGAAGTCGGCACTAGTGCATCGGTCTGGCTAATAAGTAGAAATTATGGGATTTTAAGCTTCTTGTCAACTAGTGTGACATCCAGATCGGCTAAAAATATGACTTGCAATCAATTTTGCATCTCAAAAAGTCCACAAATTCGTCTGAACCGCAACGCCCCGGTCCAGCTGGTTGATAAGTAGAAATTTTGGGGTTTTAAGCTACTTGTCGACTCGTGTGACATCCAGATCGCCTAAAAATAGGATTGTAAATCAACTTTGCTTTTCAAGAGGCTACAAATTCTGATCCACAAGCAACGCTTCGGACTCGCTCTTTGATAATCAAAAAAGTCCGGATTTCAAATTACTTATCAACTAATGTGACACCCAGATCCCCTAGAAATATGATTTGCAAGCAATTTTGCTTTTCAAGAGGCCAGAAATTCGTCTGAACCGTAACGCATCGAAGTCGCTGGTTGATAAGTCGAAATTCTTGGTTTTAAGCTTCTTGTCAACTAGTGTGACATCCAGATCGCCTAAAAATCCAATGTAAAATCAAATTTCCTTTTCATGAAGCCACAAATTTGACTCAATGAATTTCTAGCTTTTAATTTCTCATTTCTAGACGAACTTCTCTATGAGGAACCCCAAAAAGTGCGGAGTATCGTCGACGAGGTAATCAAAGTGCCGCTGGTGAGGGACACGCTGTTGCTGGTGTTGAATCTGATGGACCAGGAGTATTCGTCGGCCAGATCACTGGGGTTTGTCGGCGGGATTGTCGCGTTGATGGCTAGCAATCGATTTCCAGCTCAACCCAGTCGACGACAAGCTCCAATCCGCCCGAGCACACGGCTGACGATTTGGACACACTCAAATCGAAGCGGAAACCACACTTGGCTGAGGTTTGCGGAAAAATCAGGGATTTGTCGGAAAGATTGACAAGGGAAAGCTGAGCTTTTGACTATTTAAGTAGCCGTTTGATGCTCCCGAAACGACTGCTTTCGTGGTCAAGTGGATAGTCTGTTAGGCTAGGAAACTGGTCCCATCTTTTGCTCACAAGTTCGAGTCCCACCCTCGCCAAACTTTTTTAGCTTTCGTAAAAACTTTTTCCTTATTTGCATTGAAATTATTGACTCGAAATTTAAAGATAGCGTTCTGTAACTTCAACAAATCATTTTAAAAAGCTGGAACTTTCGAAAGTACCAGAATCAGTCGATAAATATTAACCCATGATTGATAATTAAAAATTCTTGGTTTTAAGCTGCTTGTCAACTAGTGTGACATCCAGATCGCTCAAAAATAGGATTTAAAATCAAATTCGCTTCTCAAGAGGCCAGAAATTGGTCTAAAGTCGGCACTAGTGCATCGGCCTGGCTGATAAATAGAAATTTTTGGTTTTAAGCGGCTTGTCAACTAGAGTGACATCCAGATCGCTCAAAAATTGAATTTAAAATCAAATTCGCTTTTCAAGAAGCCAGAAAATGGGCTGAAGTCGGAACTAGTGCATCGGTCTGACTAATAAGTAGAAATTATGGGATTTCAAGCTACTTATCAACTAGAGTGACATCCAGATCGCTCAAAAATACAATTTAAAATCAAATTCGCTTTTCAAGAAGCCAGAAAATGGGCTGAAGTCGGAACTCGCGCATCCGCCTGCTTGATAGGTATAAATTCTTGGTTTTAAGCTACTTATCAACTAGCGTGACATCCAGATCGGCTAAAAATATGATTTGCAATCAATTTTGCATTTCAAAAAGGCCACAAATTCGTCTGAACCGCAACGCCTCGGTCCAGCTGGTTGCTAAGTAGAAATTCTGGGGGTTTTCAGCTGTTTGTCGACTCGTGTGACATCCAGGACGCCTAAAAATGCAATTTACAATCGAATTTAACAGATAAATCGAAAGTTTGAAAGGTAGATCGAAACTCTAACAAATCAATGGAAAATTTACCATTTCTTGCCACATTTCTGCTACAGAAAGCATAAATTCAACTCTATGATTTATTGCAAATAGGTAAGGGAACAGTTTTGAAGAAAGCCAAAAAAGGTTGACGAGAGGAGGGACTCGAACTTGAGGGTAAAAGACAGGACCAGTTTGGTAGTCTAGAAGACTATCCACTTGGCCACCGAAGCAGTTGTTTGGGGAGCATCAAACGGCTTCTTAATGAGTCAAAAGGCTGCTTGACTCGAGCGAGAAAAAGAGCTGACCTGATCTGATCTATCCTGACTCACAAAAAGTCGAGAATCAGACAGAAAACCGGACTTGAATCTTGGCAGATCAAGATCAGGAGGGAGATCAGGCTCTTGCCGTTCTGATCGTTCTGCTAAGGTAGTTCTGATCTACTAGAACTGTCAGAAGATCATAAAATGTGACCTGGTTAAAGTAGGGAGCCATGGCTGGCTAGCCAGGCTAGGATCGGACTAGAAGCCAAACTAGAGCTAGAGCCAGGCTAGAGCTAGAGCCAGCCAGACTAGAGCCAGGCTAGAGCTAGAGCCAGCCAGACTAGAGCCAGGCTAGAGCTAGAGCCAGCCAGGCTAGAGCCAGACTAGAGCTAGAGCCAGCCAGACTAGAGCCAGGCTAGAGCTAGAGCCAGCCAGACTAGAGCCAGGCTAGAGCTAGAGCCAGCCAGACTAGAGCCAGGCTAGAGCTAGAGCCAGCCAGACTAGAGCCAAACCGGACTGATCGTTCTGATGAGCTAGTTCTGATCTACTAGAACTGTCAGAAGATCATAAAATGTGACCTGGTTAAAGTCGGGACCCAAGCTAGGATCGGACTAGAAGCCAGACCGGACTAGAGCTAGAGAAGGCTGGCTCGATAGGCTCGATAGCCAGACCAGGCTGGCTCGAAAACGTAGCAGACTCGAAGCTGGTTTATAGTTAAAAGCTTAAGCGTCACCTGAACCAAAGCTGAGACCAAAATTCCAAATTTTCAAATTAAAATCCCAAATTTTCCATCTCTTTCCAGATTTTCCCGAATCGCTACGGCGCACACTCGTTTCATTTGCTTTTCCTCGATCGAGCCGTCTACCTCTTTATGCAATTCGTCAACCTACGCACCACGATCAATATTTCGGTGTCTGGGCTGAAGTTGTTCATAAAGTGAGCTCAGAAAATTTGAAACAAATGACTAAAACCCGTTTAAGAAAGGTTTACTAGGGAAAACGGACCCCAAACTTTCGTAGTTTCCAATCTGGAAGGCACACTATAGAATCACGCTGTTACAAGGAATCTCTAAAAAATCTAGATTTGCCTATGTCGACTGTTCGACTTTGGCGAAGTTTAGCCACTTTGCTGGACTACAAGACTTTCCAAAATACGTTTATCAGTCAAGCTGGAAGGCACACTATAGAATGACGCTGTTTCCGGAAGGCTTTCGGCAAAAATGGAGCTTTGGCCATGTCAGCTGTTCGACTTTGAGCAATTTTGGCGCCTTTTCTGGACTACAAGACTTTCCAAAAGACGTTTATCAGTCAATCTGGAAGTCACAGTATAGAATTACGACATCTCTAGTGCATTTCCATGAAATCCAGATCTCACTATGCCGGCTGTTCGACTTTGGCCAAGTTTAGCCACTTTCCTGGACTACGAGACTTTCCAAAAGACGCTTGTCAGTCAATCTGGATGTCAGCACACCCTTTTCTACAAAAATTACGGTATTTGGGTGCATTTTCTGGATCATGTCTGGAAGCATGATCCCAAGAGTGAGAATTTTCACTTTCACCCAAACGCACACCGTCTGGCGCACTTGCCGGGCTGGGCGAAGCTGCTGTATTGTCTGAAAACAACAGCTGGGCACTATAGAAAAGGCTGTGTGCCTCTAATTTTCCAAATCCAAATTCAAATTATGAAAATTTCAGGAAATGCAATCTGCACATGTTGATAAACAGCCGGGAAATCGATTTAAAAGCCGCCGAAATCAATTTTTATCTCACTGGAGATCATTCAAGGCTTCTAGGAAACGGTAAAGTGTTTTTCGAAAAAAGAAATGAATCGAGACCTTGTTGGAAAAAAAGATTGGCGGTTTTTAACTGAAAAAACAGCATTTTAAAGTAAAAAGGCACTCTTTTTTGGCCAAATTGGAACTCAGAATGATCAAAAATTGCTGGAAATTGTCGAAAAAACGGTGAAAAAATTTTGGCAGTGACCGGATTCGAACCCGGGACCACTCGCCTTGTAACCAAACGCTTTACCACTTGAATAAAGTTGCAAATTTTGAGCTGGAAATTTTTGCAAACGATTCGGTGACATCCAGATTGAGCTTTTTTGATCATTTTGAGCTCAACGGAAATTCACAGAAATGGAAAAATGGCTGACAAGAAAAACACTCACAAAAAAAAACTCGACTCTTTTTTGGCCAAATTGAAACTCAGAATGATCAAAAATTGCTGGAAATTGTCGAAAAAACGGTGAAAAAAATTTTTGGCAGTGACCGGATTCGAACCCGGGACCTCTCGCCTTGTAACCAAACGCTTTACCACTTGACTAAAGTTGCAATATGAGATTTTGAGCCGGAAATTTTTGCAAACGATTCGGTGACTTCCAGATCGAGCTTTTTCGATCATTCTGCGTTCTACGGAAATTCAGAAATTGTGGAAAAATGGCTGAGAAGAAACGCTTGACCACTTGACTAAAATTTAAGTACAAAATTTTCGTAAACTGATTTTCCCAGAATTCTTTGTACGTTCCAGATTGATGCTTTTCACTATTCGAGGCTTAATCCGATAAATTTAAATCCGAATTTTCCAGGCCTTCCCTTTCACGGCTTTTTGCAATTCGTTTTCTATGTGGCTGAGCGAAAATTCCCGAAGGAGGGCTCATTGCTGGAGAAAGTGCAACGACTGATGCACTTCTGTGATCAATCTTTACGGCATTATGGAGTGCGGAGCGCACGCTTGAGGAGAACCGAGGTGGCGACGGCCGAGGGCGAGGATGGGTGAGTTCTCGAGGATTTCGGCAAACTAGGGCCAAAGAGAGAGATCTTTTGAAGCTTTCTGCTCGATCTGGAAGGCATTAGGCCCATTTTCAATGGTAATTGGGGTGTTGGGGCTTTTTTGAATCTCTCGACTGATATGTTCGTATTTTGAGCTTAAAACTTCGGACCACTGTATCAAAATTGGGATTTAACCAAATTTTGCCCCAATCTGGAAGTCACAGCACCCATTTCCAGCTTAAAATCGGGTTTTTGAAAGTTTCGTCAAGTCCAGGTTACTGTAGTTTCAGACGTTAGCCCTTTCTAGGGTTACTGTAAGACTGAATTTCGATATTTTCAAATATTTATGCTATCTGGAAGTCACAGCACCCATTTCTAGCTTAAAATCGGGTTTTTAAAAGTTTCGTCGAACCCAGGTTAGTAGTTTCAGACGTTATCCCTTTCCTCGGTTACTGTAACACTGAATTTAAATATTCTCACATATTTATGCTATCTGGAAGTCACACTACACGTTTTCTCTACAAAAAATGGCTCCTTCCCAATTTTTCATTTTGGGTTACTGTAGAAAAATCCACGAAATAGCTTAGACAGAAAAACAGCTTTAAATGGAAATTTAGGATTACGGTAATGCCCTGTGACTTCCAGATCTTGCTTTCCAATTGAATTTTTAAATGTTTCATGGGAACTTTTGCGAGATTTGGCTCTATTCTCAAAAAACCCAGTTGTAGTTGAAATTTCTCCCTTTTCAGGGCTACAATCAAATTATTTAAATGAAATTTTCTTGCAGCCCGGTCGAGATCTACATGCTGCCGTTGAGAATGCGCGGGAAAAGACGATCCCGTTCGTCGATGTCCACGAATCGCTCGAAATCCCAGCCGCGCGGTGACCGAAATAATAACGCGCTGAGTTTACCGAGAATCACGGCAAATTCTTGAGCATCGACTGGTTTTCCATGTGAGCTGGATAGCACAGTAAATGATCCGAAAAGCAGATTTTCGATAGGAACTCGTTTCACCAAGCCGGGTTACGGTAGTTTCAGACACTAGCCTTTTCCTGGGTTACTGTAACACCGAATATCGATATTTCGATATTTTTGTGCTATCTGGAAGTCACACTATACGTTTTCCGTCCAGAGAAACTCCTCCCTCTCAATTTTTCATTTTTGGGTTACTGTAGAAAAATCCATGAAATAACTTAAACAGCAAGACGGCTTTAAATGGAAATCTAGGATTACCAGAATGCCTCGTGACCTCCAGTTTCTGGTTTCCAATTGAAATTTTAAATCTTTTATGCTAATTTCTTTGAGATATAGCTCTATTCTCAAAATGTTGCTCTTTTAAATGAAATTCTTTCAAAATTTTGATCAAAAGTTGTGATTTTTTTATGTAAAAAGTTGAAATTACGGGATATTTTCGAGAATTTTTGCATTTTTTTGCATTTTTTGCATATTTTTGCTTTTTTAATAAATCTTTATTATAAAAAAAAAGTAAAAAAACCAAATTTCAAAAAAATGCGAAAAGTTAAATGCAAATTTTTCGCAAAATTTAAAAAAATTAACTTTGCAATATTTACATTGAATAAAAAAGGCAATAATTTATGAAAATTACAAAAAAATTTTGTGAATTTGGAATTTCTTGAAAGAAATTGAGCTAGCAAAAGTGGCAAAATCGGGAAAAAATTTGTAAAAAAAAAAAAAAAAAAAGAAAAGAAAAAAAAAAGATTGGCCGTTTTTAACTGAAAAAACAGCATTTTAACGCGAAAAGGCACTCTTTTTTGGCCAAATTGGAACGCAGAATGATCAAAAATTGCTGGGAAAAGTCGAAAAAGCAGTGAAAAAAATTTTGGCAGTGGCCGGATTCGAACCCGGGACCTCTCGCCTTGTAGCCAAACGCTTTACCACTTGACTAAAGTTGCAGTGTGAGATTTTGAGCTGGAAATTTTCGCAAACGATTCGGTGACTTCCAGCTTGAGCTTTTTTGATCATTCTGCGTTCTACGGAAATTCAGAAATTGTGGAAAAATGGCTGACAAGAAAAACTCTCACGAAAAAAAGCTCGAAACATTTTAAAAACGAGTAAAAAAACAACAAAATGATGTAAAATTTCTCTACGGTTAACTAGATTCGAAAAAATCACAATCGCATCTTTTTGGGGAGGACTTTTGAAGTCTACGGTAAATCGAAGAGCACGAAAAGAGCACTCGGTGAAGAAGGAATTTGACGAGTTCGATATAGGAAAGGGGGAAGGAGAAAAGGGACCCCAAACTACCGTAGTTTTCAATCTGGAGGTCACACTATAGAATTACGGTGTTTCGGAAGGCTTTCGGCAAAAATGGACCTTTGACCATGTCAGCTGTTCGACTTTGAGCAATTTTAGCGCCTTTTCTGGACTACAAGACTTTCCAAAAGACGTTTATCAGTCAATCTGGAAGTCACCGTATAGAACTACGATGTCTCTAGTGCATTTCCAAGAAATCCAGATCTGACCATGTCAGCTGTTCGACTCTGGCGAAGTTTGGCCACTTTTCTGGACTACAAGACTTTCCAAAAGACGCTTATCAGTTAATCTGGAGGTCACACTATAGAATTACACTGTTTCAAGGGCATTTCCAAGAAATCCAGATCTGGCCATGTCAGCTGTTCGACTTTGGCCAGGTTTAACAACCTTTCTGGACTACAAGACTTTCCAAAACACGCTTAGCAGTCAATCTGGAGGTCACTTTATAGAATTACGATGTTTTGAGAGGCTTTCGGCAAAAATGGAGCTTTGACCATGTCGACTGTTCGACTTTGATCAATTTTAGCGCCTTTTCCGAAGTACAAGACTTTCCAAAACACGTTTATCAATCAATCTGGAGGTCACACTATAGAATTAAGCTCTTTCCAAGGCATTTCCAGGAAATCCAGATCTAACTCTGTCGGCTGTTCGACTTTGGCCAAGTTTAGCCACTTTCCTGGACTACGAGACTTTCCAAAAGACGCTTATCAGTCAAGCTGGATATCAGCACACCCTTTTCTACAAAAACTACTGGATTTGGGCGCATTTTTAAATACGGATTTGGGCGCAAGACTACGGTAGTCGGGTCACCATTTAGCAAAAAGGGGAAAAGGTTCGAGTCGCTTTTATCGATGATCGGTTATTTGGAGATATTTGTCGAATTCTTGAGGGTTGATGTTCTGAAATTTTAAATTTAAAAAAGCAAAGGAAGAAAGGAAAAATTGGATTTTAAAAAAAGGGCATCAATGTTTTTTTCATCTTTTTTAAATCTTTTTTAAATCTTTTCTAAATCGATTTTTCTTGATCAAATAGCTAGTGTGCGTTCCAGGATTGGCAAATTTCCCAAAAAAATTTTCAATTCCCAACAAAAACCCAAATTTTTCAAGCCAAACTCGAAATTTCCAAAAGACGATTTTTTTATTAGACGATTTCGGTGAAATTTCTTCGAAATTCGGCTAAATTGCCTCCCAGGATGGATGAATTTTTTGAAATTTTTATGAAAAAACAAACTAGAATAGCTGTATCGATGCGGATCTCGTCGACGTCCATTCCCTCTTGAAGAGCCGAGTCGTCGGAGGCTTCTTTCTAGAAAAAGGGGTGAAGTACTCTTCGTCTGAACTCTTACCTGATGCCCATAATGATCATGGATCGGTCCAGCGCCATGCATTTGTCCGTACGGGGCTCCAAACTGCATCTGAAAAGCTGTTCTGTTGGCTGTTCGACTTTGGTCAAGCTTAACAACTTTTTCGAAGTACGAGACTTTCCAAAACACACTTATCAGTCAATCTGGAAGTCACACTATAGAATTACGATGTTTTGAGAGGCTTTCGGCAAAAAATGCAGGTTTGATTGTCGGCTGTTCGACTTTGGTCAAGTTTAGCCACTTTTCAGGACTACAAGACTTTCCAAAAGACGTTTATCAGTCAATCTGGAAGTCACACTATAGAATTACGACATCTCTAGTGCATTTCCATGAAATTCAGATCTCACTATGCCGGCTGTTCGACTTTGGCCAAGTTTAGCCACTTTCCTGGACTACGAGACTTTCCAAAACACGCTTGTCAGTCAATCTGGATGTCAGCACACACTTTTCTACAAAAATTACGGTATTTGGGTGCATTTTTGAGCTACACTACTGAATAAGCATCGAAACCGGTCATAGGCCGAAGCACGATCATCTAAAAGAAATCCGGCCTAGCCAGCATAAGGCTTACAGACCCTAGGGCCCAGTTAGAGCATCCCTAGCATCCTAGGGCCCAGTTAGTTTCTAGATCATGTCTGAACAACAGTGTTCTCAGACTAGTGTCCTTAGAAACGAACCATGTGCATCGGAGAGATCGGCTGTTGAACGGATTGCTGTTGGGGAAAAGGTTGTTGAGGAAGAGAGCCGCTCAATGCACCTAAAAAAAGAATTGTTATTGTTATTGATTGTAGTAAAGCCAGCTTTGTAGTCGAGGCTGTTTATTTGCTTTGGATTTTTCACATTTTGACTGAATTGATTTTTTGATTTGTTTAAACGCTGCATAAACTGCTGTGACATCCAGAACTTTGATTTATGACAGTTTCAAAATTTTCGCTAAAGCAGATCTCGATAAATTCGACCAGCTCTAGTATCCAAAAACCGATTTTGGTCTTTTCTTGTTTTTTGTGAATTTAACAATTAGAAAACCTTCTGTGACATCCATAGTTGATGAATCAGTGATTCTTTAGAAATTCTACAGTAACCTGTCTAGAATTTCTAGCTCTACTCATTTCAGCCGTTAAAAGTAACTCATAAGAGTTCAGAAATACTGTAAAGGCAAGCAAAAGGCTTTGACAGCATTGACAGCACAGCCTTGACTTGGATGTCAATGCTTGGATAGACAATTGTCTTGACTTGACGGCTCTAGGACTTGACGGCCCTAGGACTTGACGGCCCTAGGACTTGACGGCCCTAGAACTTGACGGCCCTAGGACTTGATGGCCCTAGAACTTGATGGCCCTAGGACTTGATGGCCCTGGGACCTTACGGCCCTAGGACTTGACCGCCCTGGGACTTGACGGTCAAGACTTGACGGCCAGGACTTGACCATCTTAGTTCAGTGTCCATTTTTATTACCAACCACTCATCGTCGGTGCTCCATTCAACAGTCCCTCCCTCCTCAATTGCTCTTGTCTCTGCTGCATGCTTGTCCTCTCCATTTCCAGCTGTTCAAGGCTACTATAGGTAGAGTAGTCCGCTGGCTGAAATTAAAAATTGGCTAAGTTAGGAATGAAACTTTTTTGAAAGCGCTAGAAAGCCTTAAATCCAGCCCAGCCATCTAGCCCAACGAGCCTGGGAAATTTCATTTAAAAAGCTATTTAAAAAGTTATTTAAAAGCTATTTAAAAAGCTATCTAAAGCTATTTAAAAGCCTATATAAAAAACTAACTATTACTTATGTACTTAGAGATTACAAATTGCTAAGGAAGTGTCTTCTAAGTCAAAGTTTTCACTTTCACTTTCACTTTCACTTTCAGCTTTCACTTTTTGATTTGCTTAGATTATCGTTGATCAAAAGTTTGTTGTTCGCTTTGATTTCAAGATGGACAAAAACGCTGCCAAGGAACAGAGATCATGATCTCTGTTCCACTTTTGGAGAACGGGCAGACTAGAGCTGGCAGGATCTTTCGGTCACGCTTGTAAACCAGAGCTAGCAGGATCTTTCGGTTTACGCTCTGGTTTACGAGCATTGACCGATGCTCGTAAACCAGAGCTAGCAGGATCTTTTGGTCATGACGGGCATGACCGAAAGACCCTGCTAGCTCTGGTTTGCTCGATTGCGAGAAGGTATTAAATCTCTTGAAGACAGCTGAGCTGCCGAGCAATCGATATGATTTGTCTTCAAGAGATTCAATACCTTCTCGGAATCAGGCGAACCAGAGCTAGCAGCTTCTTTCGGTCATGCCCGTGATGACCCTGCTAGACCAGACCCTTCTAGCTCTGGTTTACGAGCAAGATCCTGCTAGCTCTGGCTTACGAGCAAGATCCTGCTAGCTCTGGTTTACGAGCATGACCGAAAGACCGAGCCAGCTTTGGTTTCCCCGTTCAAAAGCGGAACAGAGATGTGATTTGTCTTCAAGAGATTCGTCTACAAGAGATTCAAAACCTAATATTTTTCTAGGCTATCTCTAGCCCAGTAAATCGAATTCTAGATTTTCCCAGACGTACATTTGTCATCTAGACTCTAAGGTCATCATCTAAACGAGATGCCAGAGCTTCAGAGCCAGAGCCAGAGCTTCTCTAGCGTCATTTGTTTCTCGGGTTATCCCTAAACTCCTCTCAAAGTCGCTTACTTGATTCATTGGATGTTGCTGGTAGCCATAGTTGGACAAGCACGGTTGTTGGTGAGCTAAAATCAAGTAAAGAAGGCTAGTAAATAATTAGAATTATGCTTATGCTCATCCTGTCGAATCCTGGTAACGGATAGCTCACTAGGGAAAGGCACCAAATCAAGGTGAGCTTTTAATACGAGAGCCAAGAGCCACAGGCTTTATACAAACGGCTATGCTGATAGAAACGGCTATGCTGATAGAATAGAATCGGCTATCTGAACTCTGAACCGTTCTGTAGGTGAGCACACTATCCACTAGCGAGCTTTTTTTATTTCAGCAAGAGAGAAAGCCTATAAGCCCTCCGATGACGATGACTTTAATGTCCTTGATCCTACCGTAGTTTTCAATCTGGAAGTCACACTATAGAATTACGGTGTTTCGAGAGCGTCTCCGCAAAAATGAGCTTTGACTATGTCGCCTGTTCGACTTTGGCCAAGTTTAACAACCTTTCTGGACTACAAGACTTTCCAAAAGACGCTTATCAGTCAAGCTGGATGTCATACTATAAAATTAAGCTGTTTCAAGGGCACTTCCAAGAAATCCAGATCTGACCATGTCAGCTGTTCGACTTTGGCCAAGTTTAACAACCTTTCTGGACTACAAGACTTTCCAAAACACGCTTAGCAGTCAATCTGGAGGTCACACTATAGAATTACGATGTTTTGAGAGGCTTTCGGCAAAAATGGAGCTTTGACCATGTCGACTGTTCGACTTTGATCAATTTTAGCGCCTTTTCCGAAGTACAAGACTTTCCAAAACACGTTTATCAGTCAATCTGGAGGTCACACTATATAATTACTTTGTTTTCAAAGCATTTCCAAGAAATCCAGATCAGGTGTTTCCGAATTCCGAATTATCAAAAGCTAACCATGCGTTTTCCTTGGATCCTCCCATTGCGTGGCTTGACTATTGTGATTTATAAAGAAAATTCGTCCAGAGCCATCCCTTTGCGCGTCCCATCCCGGTGGCAATGAGCCCAAGCCATCGTTTGGTGGCTAAATTTGAATATAAAGCTTTTCTACCTCATTTAACAGTGATTTCTAAAAAGATTCGAATTGAGCTGAGGAAATTACACGAAAAGATTATGTGCGTGCCAGCTTGAATGTCCTTAACCTTTAAAAAGTCAGAATTCCAACCAAAACCGACAAAATCCTCTAAACTACGAACGACACCAAACAACGATTGTGTTAGACTTTAAAAATTTAGTGATTTTAGATAAAAATCGACTCTCGTGACATCCAGAATAAGCAATTATTCAAAGAAAAGAACTCAAAAAACGACACACAAGGCTGGGATGCGGCGGCGGCTGTTGTTGTGGCTGCAGCTGGAAGGATTGCCCGAATGACGTGGTGCCCAAATGCGGTTGACTATCGGACAGACAACCATGGGTGTCAGCAGGCATTCTCACAAGCATTGGGTCCATTGACGACGATTTTGGGAGAGTGGCCGGCTGGTGGTAGGGCGTGTGGTGCATCGAGAAGCGTGGGTTGCTGAAAATTTTTTCGAATTGATTTTTTGATTGATTTAAACGCTGGATAAATTGCTGTGACATCCAGGATTTAGATTTATAAAAGTTTCAAAATTTTCTCTAAAGCAGATCTCGATAAATTCGACCAGCTCTAGAATCCAAAAACCGATTTTGTTCTTTTCTTGTTTTTTGTGAATTTAACAATCGCATAGCCTTCTGTGACATCCAGATCGGAGTTTTTTAAACGAACCCTTGCATATTCGTGGCGTCGGTCGACTGCGAGCGGCCGTGACTCGATTGTGGGTGATTGTAGTGGGAGACTTCTGAAAAATATCGTCGAGATTTCTACCGTAACCATCGTTCTGGAGCGCACAATGGCTTTTGGAGAAGAAAATTTACCCGAAACGCTGAGCGATCCCTTTTGGTGCATCCCACGGGCAGGGTACTGGGTGTAGCTGCTGAAATTTGCATTTATTTCATTTTTGCTTTTTTTTGTGCATTAGCTAGCTCCTGTGACATCCAGAACTCATAGAAAAACGATAAAAACAGAAACTTTCCATATGCAAATCAAAGAAAACCCTGGGATCTTGAAATTTGCATTGAAGAAAACAAATTAGCATTTAAATTGGCATTTAAAATTAGCATTTAAAAACGAGCAATTAAAAATTAGCAATTAAAGTTAGCCTTTAAAAGTTAGCATTTAAAATTAGCCTTTAAAAATTAGTCTTTAAAAATTAGCAATTAAAAATTAGCATTTATCTAAATGCTTTTCATTTCCATTTTTTTGCGTTAGTTAACTTCTGTGACATCCAGAACGCAAAGAAAAACGATAAAAACAAAAATTTTCCATATGCAAATCAAAGAAAACCCCGGGATCTTGAAATTTGCATTTAATAATTAACATTTATTTAAATGCTTTTAATTTCCATTTATTTTGCATTAGTTAGCTTCTGTGACATCCAGAACTCATAGAAAAATGATAAAAACAGAAATTTTCTATATGCAAATCAAAGAAAACCCTGAGATCTTGAAATTTGCATTTAAAGATTTGCATTTAATAATTAGCATTTATTTAAATGCTTTTAATTTCCATTTTTTTTAATGTTAGTTAGCTTCTGTGACATCCAGAACCCATCGAAATGTCAGAAAAAGCATAAAATTTCATGAAAAATCTCGAAATCTCACCTCGGTCCCGGGAAATCGGCGAGCTCTGGGGCGCTGGCCTAAAAATTTCGAATTCACGAATTCAAAACAGGGATTTTCTTCGATTTTCGGACAATCTGGATGTCATTCAATGTTTTAAAACGTCCAGAACGTCGGAATGCTCAAGTTTACTTTCAGCAGATTTTATCCGAAAAAAGTTTGACTGAATTTCTTGGTTCAGTGTTGATGAAAAGCCGAAATAGCCTTTTTTTCATTAATTCTGGAGCTCACAGGGAAAGTTTAGATGGGAATTTGATTGGGTTTACGGCAAACCTGTCGCTGGTGAAATGGCGAGGCGGTGCTCGGCGACATACTCGACGGGCTTAGCGTTTGCTGACTCTGGAAGATTCCCTCGTCGGTGGAGCTCTGAAAGAAATTCAATTGTGAACTTATATGCAAATCCTTTCAATGCAAAGCCGTTCAAATGCAAATTTCAAAAGCGAATTTAAATTTTTGCAAAACCGCTTTTCCGCTGTCGCTGATCGAATTCATCGATGATAAATTGCTCTAGAAAATTTTTTTCTTAAAAACTAACTTTCTAATTGAGCCAGAATTTCGAATGCGTTCCAGGATTTAAAAATTTTTTAAAATAAATGATTTTTGGCAAATTTTAAGCCGAGAAAAGTCGCTGAACTCGATTCGCCAAAAAGTGCCCTCGTGAAAATTGGGATTTTCGATTGAAAAACCGTTTCATTTTCTTGTGTGACATCCAGAACTTACAGGGATTTTAAAAAATTTTAGAAAAATCCATTTTATATGTAAATTTACTGACCCCGATCGGTGATGGGCCTTGTGAGCGGGCATTTCCTTTCCCCTGGCTCGGCGGCGTGAAGAAACTTGGCGGAAGGCCGCGCTGAGCGAACTGAAATAAAGGAATGAAATATAAAAAGTTTAGAAATCGTTTGTTTTATGGTATCAAGGGTACGGTAAGCGGAGTGCTTTCTAATTTCGTCTTTTTCTAAAACGTGCCCCATTTTCTACCGTAAACTTGTCTCTTTTTATTCTAGAAGAGCTTTGTGACATCCAGATGACATGGAAATGACAAAAGATAGACTTATAGAGCTACAGTAATCCAGGAATTGGCTTATGGAGCTACAGTCATCCGGTCGAGATGGTAAAAGCTTGGGTAATGGAAAAACTTTCTATAGGATCATCTGGTGTGACATCCAGATGGCATGGAAATGACAAAAGATGGACTTACAGAGTTACAGTAATCCGGAAATGGCTAAGGTCTAGAACGTCGGGAAAGTCGGGAATGTAAGAGTTCGTGTAATGGAGAAACTATTTATCGGATCATCTAGTGTGACATCCAGATGGCATGGAAATCAGATTTTTATTCCTGAATTCAACTGAGAAGCTGGTTTTTTGGCTTACCTTTGGATTGCGCTGGTATTGCTGTTTCTCGGGTTGTTTCGACACCTAGAAGTGGAGAATTGGATAAAAGAAAAATGATTTCTACAAAATTAGGCCTTAAATTTAGTGCTATGAGATGAAAAAGCCGTTTCTCGTCTTTACCGTAATCCATTTCACTCAAAAACCCACCGACGAGAAGAGGTCATCGAGCGATTTCTTCGAGTCGGATGATTCGCGGATCAGAGTGCCTGAAAAGTTGAAATTTTCGTTTTTTCCTTCATTCTGGATGTCACACTTGAGCTAGGTGCAAAAAATTTCAAAAAAATATTTTACACTCTTTTCGATTTTGAGCCAAATTTTTAAATTCAAATTTTTTATGCAAATTTTTTTATGCAAATTTTTAAAAGCAAATTTTTTAATTCAAATTTTTAAATTCTAATTTTAAATGCTAATTTTTAAATGCTAATTTTTGAATTCTAATTTTTGAATTCTAATTATTAAATGCTAATTTTTAAATGGTAATTTTTAATTGCCAATTTTTAAATGCTAATTTTTAAATTCTAATTTTTAAAAGCAAACTTTTAAAAGCAAATTTTTAAATGTACATTTTTAAATGCTAATTTTTGGATTCTAATTTTTGAATTCTAATTTTTAAATGCTAATTTTTAAATGTAAATTTTTAAATGCAAATTTTCCTTTCTCGACTTTTTCTCGTCTATCTGGAACTCACTTTGATTGAAATTGTTCGATTTTTGAATCTGATCTCGAACTTTCCTCCCGGCCATCCCCAACGACCCTGAAAATCGGTAGCTGGAAACATTTTTCTAACCAAAAACGAGACAAAACGAAAAATAAGCAAATTTTTAAGCAATCATGAAAGATTTCGGAAGGATTAGAATCGGTTTTTGAATGATTTTAAAAAAGGCATTTTTGGCTGAATAGGTTCAACGCGATTTTTCGGGAATTTTCGGTTAACCATCATTTTTTTCGTCAAGCTTTCTCCATCTTGGAGTCCACCTGACCGTTTGAACTTTAAGAAACCAGTGGAAAACGCGAACTTTGGTGAGCGTTTTCCACTGGGGAGGTCCACGTTTTTCGTGAAATCTAAGCCCCACCCCTTTTTGCCAATGGCTGATGGACAGAGGGACAGACGGATGGACAGACAGACGGACAGACGGACAGACGGACAGACGGACGGACGGACAGACGGACGGGCAGACAGACAGACGGACAGACAGACGGAGAGACAGACAGACAGTCAGACAGACGGACCGACAGACGGACGGACAGACGGACGGAGAGACGGACGGAGAGACAGACAGACAGTCAGACAGACGGACAGACAGACGGACAGACAGACGGACGGACAGACGGACGGACGGACAGACAGACAGACGTCTTTTCTGCTTTATATATAGATCTATTTTAGCGTAAAAAAGTGATTAATTGCCGTGTAAAAGTTTCCATTTGATTAAGAAAATCAAAAAAGAATGGGGAAAATGCTGTTTTCCGATGAGCTTCTCAAGCCGATTCGCTTCCAAAAATAAATCATTTCTTGAAATCGAGAAAATGAGGGAAATGCGAAATGAGGAAAACGTGAAATGACTGATTGGGAACAGAAATTGAAACAAGGAAATTATGAGTGAGAATGGGGCAAAAAAAAAGAGCGGAGAATAGGTGGTGTGAGATCCAGATCGGCTAGAGAAATGAAAGATCGGGCTGGGAAAGGCAAGGGAGTGGAGGAGAGGAGTTGAACAGGGACGAGAGGTGCCTGAAATGAAAATTCCAGGTAGAGACAAAAGATGCTCGGGAATAGGTGGTGTGAGATCCAGATCGGCTAGAGAAATGGAAAATAGGGATGGGAGAGGCAAGGGAGTGGAGGAGAGGAGTTGAACACGGACGAGGGGTGAGTGCATGAAATGAAGACGAGCTAGTCACCAAGAAAAGCTCGAGAATAGGTGTTGTGAGTTCCAGATCGGCTAGAGAAATGAAAGATAGGGGTGGGAGAGGCAGAAGAGTGGAGGAAAGAAGTTGAGCTCCGACGAGGGGTGAGTGAAATGAAAACTCGAACTAGTGACCAAGAAAACGACGGGAATAGATAGTGTGCGTGCCAGATTGGCGAAAAACAAAGAAAACGAAAGATTTTACTGAGAAAAGACAAGAGAAAGAGACAAGAGAAAGGTGACTATCACAAGACAGCGGTGAGAGAGCTGATAAATTTGAGCGAGAGCCGCTCCCCATCGTTTCTTTTCGCTTTTTGCGCAAAACACCTTGTTCTCGGCTTTCCCCGGCTAGCAGGAAAGAGAAAAAGAAAGAAAGAAATCGATAAGGCAGAAAGGGGCTCGGCTGATCGGCTGATCTTGAGGCTGAGACTGAAAAGTCGAGTTAGCGATGTGATGAAAGTTGGATTTAGTGTCGTGTGTTCCAATTTGAAAGGCAAGTTACTAAAATTGGCATAATTTTTCAGAATTGAGGAAGAAAATCGAGCAGAGTCCTTGCAACGAAAATTGAAATTTGAAATTTGAAAATTGCTCAAAACTAGATATCAGAATCGCTAAAGTGAGCTCCAGATTGGCCAATAGAGCTTAGCGAAGGCAAGTTGCTTTCAGAAAACCAGAGAAAATCGCTTGGTAATGAAAAGGGATAAAGAATTTTTGAAAAATTGGGAAAACTTTGGGTTTTTTGCTAAAAACGATCATCTGCCTTCCAGATCGCTCAAATTGGTGACTAATTTTCACGAAGGAAAAGAAATTTGCGTACTCTGCCCGGAGAGAAGCGATTGGAGAGATCGAAGAGATGATAGGCTTTAAGAGAATAAGGGAAAATGAGATGGGAAAATCTTTGAGAAATTTGCATATCTAACGATTTGCATAGCTTTTGTGCGTTCCAGATAGGCTAAATTTGAGTTCAAAGTTTTTTGGAACCGTCGGGAATCTGATCAAAGGGAGTCAGAGTTGGACGACAACTCCAAAACTCAAAAAATTGAGAAACTTGCAGATCTAATGTTTTAGAGCTGCCTTGTGCGTTCCAGCTCCGCTGAAATTGAGCTTAAAGTTTTTTACAACGGTCGGTAATCTGGATAAAACAGGGGGGTCAGATTTGATCAAAAAATCCAAGATCAAAAAATTGAGAAATTTGCAGATCTAATGTTTTAGAGCTGCCTTGTGCGTTCCAGATCCGCTAAATTTGAGCTTAAATTTTTTGGAATGGTCGGGAATCTGATAAAAGGGAGTCAGAGTTGGGCGACAACTCCAAAACTCAAAAAAAATGGGAAATTGGGAAATTTGCTGATCTAATGTTTTAGATCTGCCTTGTGCGTTCCAGATCCGCTAAATTTGAGCTTAGATTTCTTGGAACGGTCGGGAATCTGGATAAAACAGGGGGGTCAACTTTGAACGAAAAATCCAAGATTGAAAAAATCAAAAATTTAGCCTATCTGCTGATTTCCATCTGCTTTGTGCGTTCCAGCTTGGCGTTTGATTGTTTCAAAAAGTTTAATCTCACCTAGAAACTCGAAGAAAACGTTGAGCTGAGATTTTGACTGAAAATTTCTAAGCTGTCGTCACTCAAAGAGGGGAAACTGATTGTAAATGGAAATAGATAGGGAAAGGAGTGAGTCATTGAGCGAAGACAAAACATTTGAATCAATGATAGAGCGGGGGAAAATTGAAAAAAGACATCATCTAATGATTTTCATTGGGCTAAACAAGTTTGTCATTTGGGAAAATTTGGAAAAAATTTTTTTGGCTTTGGAAACCGATTCTAATCAATTTCTATATAGTGTAGTGTTCTTTGTAGTGTTCCTTGTAGTGTTCTTTGTGCTCTAAACCCTTCGAAAAGCTCTCTGATCTTCCTGAGCTCTGTGATCGACCACAGCCAAATTGCCACTCAAACAAATCGTCATAACTCTAGATCTAAAAAAGCTATTTAAAAACTGTAAAAAGCTTTAAAATCTGTGGAAATTTGGCTATCTTTTGGCTATAAACACTTCAGAAAACAGTTAGAGAAAATTTAATTAAAGAGAATTTAAAAAAGGATAGAACTTTGGCCGAATTTTGTATAAAAGAGCAGTCTTTCCAACCATTTTCTCAGCCAAACTCCAACCAAATCCCAGCCTATCCTAGCCTAATAACCCTAAAACTTCTTTAGAAAACCCTAGAATACATTCTAGTTATGGTATTTAAAGTAAAAAATTGAAAAATTGAAAATTGATTTCCGGGACCGGGGTCGAACCGGGACCGTGTGGGCTGTAGTCAAGCGCGCTGCCGACTGAGCCATTGCGACAGGGGAAAGCCGGCCAGAAAAACTTGCTGTTAAACGGTTTTTTTTGCTCTTAAACGGGTTTTTCTGGCCTTAAGCCCGTTTTTTGGAGTCTCAAATAGCGCTGACTTTTAAAGAAACTTCAATAACATCGAGTAATCTTTATCAAACAAGGATTGGCTTTGAAAATGGGTTTGTATTAAAGAAAGGGTCTAAATTTTGAAGCCAGCCTCGGATCTGGATGTCATATAAGCTTTTCGTTGTCTTAGAAAACGATTTTATTCATTTTCAAAAAATCGACTTTTGAGCCTTGGACTTTGTTTTGACATTGGGAGATTTTTCCCAGCTCTGGTTTTACACAGGTTTCACAGCTTTCCCCATTTTAGACCTTTGTGACATCCATAATTGATGAAAAGTTAAAAAGAAATCAAATTTTCATCTCTTTTCTCTCTTTTTCATGGAGGTGACGATTCAACGGGAAGATTTTGCCAAAAATTCTTGCCTACTCTTGAGAAAAACTGCATTCTGGATTCTTTGAAATGGCATTCTGGATGTCACAACAGCCATTGCTCATTTTTAAAAGCAGCTTTAGCTAATTCCTGCAAGCTCCATTTTGACAGTAGGAGATCAAGCATTTTTAACAGCTCTGGTTTTACAAAATGAGCTATTTCTTGTTTCAAGCTTTATTCTGGAGCGCACGGCACCGATTCGAAATCCTAAATCCAGAAAAAACTGTAGTCTTGCACTAGTCAGCTGGGGTGTACTCCCAGCGTTGCACTTCCACTCCAGCGCTGATCCCTCCCTCCTTCCCCCACGTAAGCTGAGCTCTCCATCCCCCCTCGTGCTTCCCAGCATTGATCATTTCCATTATTTCCATTATTTGGGAGTAAAGTCAAAGGCAAAATTTCGAGAAAAAATCTCACCAAAAAAAACGATAAAAAATAATAGGCTTAAAGGGAAAATTGAAGAAAATTGAAGAAAATTGAAGAAAATTTATGATAAAATGGGTTTAAAATTGAAACTGAAACTTAGACTTTGAACAAATTTAAACTTCAAAACTTTCTTTTTGAATTTTTCGTTTATAAAACTGATTTGAACGTGACTTGAAGCTTATCCTCTAATAAAAACGGTTATTGCCTTAACTTTTCTCAAAAAAGATCAATCTGGTGATCATTCTGGAAGTCATGCTTACAATTTCTCGACTCATTGTGGAGATTGGGGAAATTTGGGATGACGTCAAAGATTCGGAAAGAGACCGAGCCAGGAAACGTCAAAAGAATGGAAATGGAAAAGATTTTGGGAATGTTATTGGAGGTTCTGGATGTCACAACAGCGATTGGTGCGATCAGATTTCGATTGGATCGATTTTGGGGGTTGGCATTAGGCAAGGATGGAGTTTGAGCCAGGAAACGTCAAAAGAATTGAAATGGAAAAGATTTTGGGAATGTTATTGGAGGTTCTGGATGTCACAACATCGATTGGTGCGATCAGATTTCGATTGGATCGATTTTGGGGGTTGGCATTAGGCAAGGATGGAGTTTGACCCTTGAAAAGGCACAAGGATGTAAGTTTGAGTTTTCAGATTTTAAAATAAGTCAATCTGGAGCGCACGCGAGCTTTCAGGATGTTTAAATCGGAAGGAATATAAAATCTAGAGTAGTCGAAAGATCAAGCCCAAGATCAAGCCCAAAAAAGCTGTGAAAATAAAGCTTTTGATTTTAAAAGTTTCTAGAGAGCCGATCTGGAGCGCACAAAAGGAATTGAGTTGATCGGTTGCTCGGAAAAAGAAACGGGAAAGAAAGGCAAAAGATAAGGGTTGGTCTTGTGAGAGGACAATGCACACAAACACTTTTGCGTTGCCTTTTCTCTTTCAAGCTGTCCATAGATGGTGTGCTGTCCGTAGAGAACCTGTGAGCCACCCAAGCCACCAAAATTTGCATACTCTTAAGAAAAACGGTAAACAAAATGAGCAGAAGTCAACTCTTAGCAACAACAAAAGATTAATAAATGAGCAAAATTAAAATGACGTTTAAATCAAAATCTAAACTATGGAAATCCAAGTGTGACATCCAGGACAACCAAAAATCGATTTAGATTTAAATAATCTTCTCCAGATCCGGTAGTTTTCTGGAGCCACAGATTCAGCGTTTTCATCGGCTTGCCTTTCCAACAATAATCAACTTTTATCAATTCTATTTTGTTCTGTGCATTCCAGATAGCCCAAAATTCTTAACAGATTCTCAAAAGCTCGCTTGGCAACCAAGAAATCGAGCCCAACTCGTTTCAGCTACTATCCCTTGCTTTTTCACGGAATACTAACAACTGGTTTATATGCCGGGCGTCAATTTGCTCTTTCTGGATGTCACAAAGGCGAAATTGGGGGTTTTTGCGGGATGGGTGTCCATATTTGGGAAAGGCTACCGTATACCCTGAGATCAATACAGAGCCAGGCTCCCCAATCAAAGCCAGACCCCCAAAAAGACACTCGGCGACAACGGGGCGCCATTTTTTTTCCCCCATTTTGACATCCATTCGATAAAACACGCACATCGGTCATGTTTTTTTGCTCAGGGAAGCAGTACTAAGTAGTACTAGTTCCGCGGTGATCGATCACCCGCCAATCTTTGCGTTCATTTGAGAAAGAAAGCAAGAAAACTTTGAAAATGGTGAATCTGGGAGGCACACTAATTAATGAAGCTAAGAAATTGAGGAGGGAAATGATTTGAGCTAAGTGATATTTTGGTTGAGTAGCTGGACGATATTTCGCTTGTGTTTGAGCCGCCACAGGCTGGGAGCTAGATAAAACTTGGATCTGGAAGGCACACTAATTAATAAAGCTAAGAAATTGAGCAGGGAAACGATTTGAGCCTAACACTTTTGGTCGAATAGGTAGCTGGACGAGTTTTCGCCTGTGCTTGAGCCGCCCTAGGCTGGGAACTTGATGAATCTCCGATCTGGAACGCACACTAACTAATAAAGCTAAGAAATTGATTAGGGAAACGATTTGACCTAAGTGATATTTTTGGTTGAGTAGCTGGATGAGATTTCGCTTGTGTTTGAGCCACCGCAGGCTGGGAGCTAGATAAAGCTTAGATCTGGAAGGCACTGTATCTATTAGATCTAAAATTTTCAGTCTACAGTAGTCTACAGTAATATCCAGCCAGGGCACTACAACACCTACGCGACGCTCCGATTGCACACTCGTGTTCCTCGATCAATTACCATATTAAAGATGCCCGATGGGTCAACTGAGCTCCACATCGATGGGAAATTCATTGAAAAGGTTGATAAGGGAAAAATAAAAGGCAAAAATAGATTCAAACTCTTCCCGAGGTTCGAATAACTTGAAATCGTTATCTCAAAAAGCAAAAAACCAAAGAAAATCCCGAAATTTATCCGATTTAGTGTTTATTTTTAAGAAATGAAAAAAAGATTAAAGGAATTTCGATAAAAAAACAAGGAATCGAGGTGATTCATTTGTTAAATATAGATTCGTCAGACTTTGACCCTTTTTAAAGGCACAGACTACAGAATGTTGAGCTGTGAATTTGGGAATAGGCAAGCTGGATGTCAGGAAAGAAAACAAAGTTTGAATTGAGGCGATATCTTGAAAATGGGCAAGATCGAAAATTCGAAAACGCAAGCAAGCTAGCGCACTGATTTAGAGGAAACAAAACGTCAAATCCACGATCAAGAACTGAATCCTGGAACGCACGAGAGCTTTTCCACTAGGAATTGAAGTCATTTGAGGAGAAAAATGGGTTCGGAGGTCATTAACTTCACAAAAAAATATCGCCACCTTTCAATCTATCATTGTGCACCTGGAGAAAAGGTGTTAGAATGACTAGCTCTTTCGAAATATCACAATTTTTATGTTTTCTGGATGTCACAGGAGCTAATTCGCGCAAAAAATGCTAATTTAAATGCTAATTTGTTTTCTTCAATGCAAATTTCAAGTTCTGAGGGTTTTCTTTGATTTGCATATGGAAAGTTTTTGTTTTTCTCGTTTTTCTATGAGTTCTGGATGTCACAGAAGCTAATGAAGCTAAGAAATTGAGCAGGGAAACGATTTGAGCCTAACACTTTTGGTTGAATAGGTAGCTGGATGATATTTCGCTTGCCTTTGAGCCGCCCCAGGCTGGGAGCTAGATAAAACTTGGATCTGGAAGGCACACTAATGAATAAAGCTAAGAAATTGAGCAGAGAAACGATTTTAGCCTAACACTTTTGGTCGAATAGGTAGCTGGACGAGTTTTCGCCTGTGCTTGAGCCGCCCTAGGCTGGGAACTTGATGAATCTCCGATCTGGAACGCACACTAACTAATAAAGCTAAGAAATTGATTAGGGAAACGATTTGACCTAAGTGATATTCTTGGTTGAGTAGCTGGATGATATTTCGCTTGCCTTTGGCCCCCGGCTGGGGCTAGATAATTGGATCTGGAAGGCACCTAATAATGAGAAGAAATCGAGCAGAGAAACGATTTGACCTAAGTGCTATTTTTGGTTAAGTAGCTGGACGATATTTCGCTTGCCTTTGAGCCGCCCCAGGCTGGGAGCTAGATAAAATTTGGATCTGGAAGGCACGCTAATTAATAAAGCTAAGAAATTGAGCAGGGAAATGATTTGACCAAAGTGATATTTTTGGTTGAGTAGCTGGATGAGATTTCGCTTGTCTTTGAGCCGCCCTAGGCCTGGAGCTTGATGAATCTCCGATCTGGAAGGCACTCTATCCATTAGATCTAAAATTTTCAGTCTACAGTAGTCTACAGTAATATCCAGCCAGTGTCCTACAACACCTACGCGACGCTCCGATTGCACACTCGTGTTCCTCGATCAATTGTAGTCTACAGTAGTCTACAGTATTAACTCGAATTAAAGATCATTTTAATTTCAACAAAAAAAAACGACGAAACAAATCAAACAAAAGTTCAGAAGATCACAAAATTTAGATATCCGAAAATGAGAGAAAATCCAGGTGCCGAGTTTTCTTGTGTTTCTCAGCGAACCCATCCCATTTCCCCTCCAATCTTTCCCCTATCTATCGCCAATGACGTCAATGATTGTGGGAGCCACACACCACTCCTCCCCTCCCTCCTCTCCCCCCTTCCCCTCCACCCCCAACACTATACAACTGATAAAAATAGAGAAGAAATAAGAAATGGGGATCAGAGATGAAATTTTGGAGTTCTGGAAGGCACAACGGGATTTGAGAGGGTTTTTTGAGTAAAATATTGAGTTTAGACGAAGGCATTTTTGGCCTGTAGCTTCTCGAGGGAAAATAAGTGCTTTTTAAAGCTCTAAAAAGGATTCTAGAATTAAATTTTGCCGTTCTGGAAAGCACTAGGAAGATTTAAAATAAAATTTGAGTAAAATATTGATTCTAGGCGAAGGCACTTTTGGTCTGCGGCTTTTCGAAAGAAAATTAGTGCTTTTTAAAACTCTAAAAAGGATTCTGTACTTAAATTTTGCCGTTCTGGAGGCCTGAGTTTAAATAAATTTGACAGAGCTTGACTTTAGGCAAAGG